AGTTTCTGCTGCTCCAAGCTGATTCAGGCATTGTTTAACCATCTGACTAACTGGCTTTCTTCATCATCACTTAATTCCATCACAAGCTTATCTCTGCATTGAATTGAGTGGCAAATAGCACACCAGGTTTTAGTTAATTCTCTGAGAGGATATCAGGTGGGTAGGTGGCAGTAGGAACTAAGTATGGTGCCTAGTGGAGCTCATGAGCTGGCTTGCTACTTCCCTAAGCACCTGTGCACCTTATTTACCTGGCTGGGTAAGGGCAGGGCTTTGTCCTCATTTGGGATAAACAATTGGCTTACCAAAGCTTAACAAGGAGAGAGGAACATTCATTGCAAGCACCAGCAGAAGAGCAAGAAGTGGAAAGGATGATGGCCAGGTAATAACATCTGTGGGGGCACTAATAGGCTGGGATCTGTCTTTCCTAGGAATGTGATTAAGGAGCTGTTGAAGTAACATCAGAATTTATTTTAGAATTTGTCAAATGAGTAGTAACAAATCTCTGGGATCTGGTAGTCCCAGAGGACTGCAGAACTCTGAATCATTCGAAGGAACGTGTCTCTATTGCTAAGCGCAGTGGGAGACCAAACATCCTTGTCTGCCATGGGTGGAGGAGGGTGGTAAATCTAACGCTGACAAAAGGCTCCAGTGAGGACCCAATGATCCATAAACAAGCAGATGTTCATCCCAGTTTTGAATTTGTTGAATAAATTTAGCGGAAATCTGGAAGAATTCTATGTATGAGGGTTATTGTGCCCACCAATTGCTCAAAAGCCTTTGAAGTATTCACTGACAGTATGGATAAGAGTGGGCCAAAGAATAGAGTGGCTGTGAGTTTCCACCAACCTTTCAATGAGATTTTTCCTCAGATACATCTAGCTCCAAGCTTGTAGGTGGGAAGAGGAAGAGCCTTCCAGGGACTAATGACTTGTTAAAGAGAAGAATAAATGGCTATTTTTCACACTTCAATCTTCCTGCTCTTCCCTTTCATTTTTGGTGACATTCAGCAGAGTGCCAATGCTGATTGTTGGGATCTGGGAGTTCAGAGTTCAGCGACCAACAGGCTGTAGCTGGTAAGAAAAAGGAATTAAAGAAAGCTGCCACAGTCTCACCCATTTCCTCATGGCCTGTAATGCCAGGGAAGAGGGAGCAAGGCCATAACCAGCAATCCTGCACAGGCACTAGTGTTCAGGGCAGGCTCTAATATCTCTTGTGAGGAAACCCTGGAATTGAGAAAATCACGCTGTGTGAGGGGATGCTTGGGTGTCTCACACAGCTAAATATCTGGTGTAAATGTGCTCAGATAGAAGAAGACTCACTCCTTCAGCTATCGGAGAACTACCTACACACCCTCAGATACATGGCCAGTACAGCCTCCTATATGCAGTGCTGGTCTAACCTGTGCCTTCCAGAAGAGCTGCTCAGGAATTTCCTGCAGGTTAATAAAAAGTCCTGAGAAAAGAGTAGGGAAGAAGAAAGGTGTCCTATTAAAACAGAGGTCAGGCCCACTAGGTAGGACACCACGTACATCTTTAGCAAATTACCAAATAGGACATGCCCAGTAAATGACACCACACTTTGCATTAATCAAGGTGAACAGTCACCAAACAAGTGAGTAAAAAGCTTTATTCTGAAGCGTAGATACCATCTTGTCCACTTAGCCTCTGTACACACTCACAGTGACTCAAGCTTAAGGAACCTGTGATCTTTGCATGACTCCACCTTCCATACTTCTGTGCTTGGGAAGTTTGCAGGGTTCATCCTCCATTCTGACATGAAAATAAGGAATGTAACCACGTCGAATGGGCTCTATCTGCCACTGTCTGGCCATCCTCCCAAGTTGAGGCAGGCCACACACCAATTTCTTGATCATTCTGGGATTTTACTAACCTGTTTACTTATTCAGCTGCACATTTTGCAGCCTCTACCCCATCTAAAAAAAATAAATAAATAAATATAGTGCTTGACCTTTTTCCCTGTTGATCATTGCCCAACCTTTCTACCTCTTTTTCTTGTGTATTCCTGATTTTGACTCATCACAATACTTTGTTTTCTGTCTTGGAACAATTCTGTGTCTTCACCACACTTGTGTGGAACCATGTTAAAAATTTTCTGAAAGTCAAAACCTGAATTTTGTACTTGGTTCTGTTTTATTCACAGCTTTAGAGGCACCTCCACATTCCTGTGAAAAATTAGGAAACCACAGCCTATAACTGCCTCAGCCACTAGTCATTTTAGTAGTCTATGTTATTTGTCTTCATTTATCATATAAGTAGCCAATGTACCTCCATGAAAGAGGGGAGACTATGACAGGGGCTTTAGAGGTTCAGAAGGCTCTTGCACTGTCTACATCCTTGATGTGGGGTCTTTTGACAAGTCTTTCTCTGTGCGCGTGCCCCAGCAGAGACAAGGTGCCAGTTGCAGAGGTGATGGGAAAAGACCACCCAGCAGAGTGCCTTGCAGTAGGGGCCAGGCATGTCTTGCCAGCCTCCTCCAAGCATTTGGTATCAGGCCTGGAGCTCCTGAGCCTACACAGTGCACTTTGGGCAGCTTCTTGCTCTTTGATGGTCCCAGGCCATCCCTGCTGATGAGTTTTCTGACACAGAGAGACTTATCCCAAGCAGGATCACACTGTGCAGCACCTCCCTTGCACTTCCGCTTCTGTGGAATCCCTTCTTCCACTGATCTCAAAAGATTGGACTTGATAAATTTCAGACAGAAAAGGACACAAACATGAACCACTCCAGTAGCAGCAAGAAGGGACTGAGAAAGCAGAGCTTGTTCTCGCAGGAGGACATAGCATTGGAGTGAAAAAGTCCTGGAGGTCTTTCTCTGGGCTGCCGTGTGACATGTACATTGTCATGGCTGATGTGGAACCAGGGGCCTATCCATCACATGTGCAGAAGCTCCTGAAGGGTTAGAGGCACAGATGCAAGGTGAGATCAGCACATGAGATGCCGTATAGTCAGAGCCTCCTCAGGCAGGTCCAGCTAATGCACAGCAGAGAAGACATTAGGAACTAGCAGGGATACCCAAGTGGGGCTTTGGCCAGCAAAGGCAGTAAAATCATGCAGGAGTCTGCAATGCAAAAAGTACAAGAAACTGCGGTTTGAGACTGTGGTTGTCTGTGAGTTCTGTTTTGTCCTTCAGCTGCTTGTGTTGCGGCTCTGCTAAATGGTGGCATTTGTTTCAGAACAGCACTAATTATGAGGAGAAGTTCATTAGATGGAACTAAACATTAGTTGACTAAACATTAGGAAAAATTAGTAAGGAACAAGGCTCCTGGCCACTTTGCTGGACACTGCAGTGGGTTTGTTTACTGACTCAGGTCAATATTTGGGGATTAATTTATTTCAATAACCTCTTCCCCATCAGAAATTAAGAAATATCCACTTCATTAGATGTAGCATGACCAGGAAATCACATGTTGACCCCATGACAGGCAGAGGGTTCAGCTCAGGTCAGCCTCATGTCATGGACTACATGAGGGTGAGCGACCCCAGCACTTCTCAGCTGTAAGTGGGGCACTGTTGGAATCAGAGCTTCTGGGGCAACCAGTTTCTAAGGTCTCTGGCAACATAAACCTACAAGTCTGGAAGCCCTGAAATTGCTGTCACCAAGCCAAAATGTTTAAGGGGACCTCCCAGAAACCACAGAATTTAAAACAAACAAACAAACAAAACAAAACCCCAAACCAGGTCTGAGGGAGTTGTCAGAGAAGTGAGCTGTCAGTGTCAGCTGAGACTTGTCCTTGACTTAGTTTGACTTGTACCACTTATGTTACAAAGTAAAAGGTGCCATCAGTTCATTTCCTTCCACTTACCTCAAGTGAACCAGCTGTGGGCATGTGGAGGGGGAGCCTCAAAGGACCTGTATCTTTTTACTTTGCATGTTTGCAAAAAGTTTTTCTTCTCTGAGAGAACATTTGGTAGATAGAGAAGCTTCCTCCATTGCAGCTGTATCCAGCATAGAGTTGTGCCCAGTCTCCTTGAGATTACTGTGTTCATCTGTAGCACAGGAAACTTTAAGTCAAGATATAGCCCTGCCTCATAGATTTGGCATTACTCTGAGTGTCCGTGGGTAACAGAATGAGAGCATGTTCTGAGTGCCTGCAGCATACGCTACCTGAGCCACAACATATGTGAGCATCTCAAGCAGATAACCCTACGGATGCAGCCACATACTGACAAAGGTGTGCATCGAGCAGCACAGCTTTGGGCATGCCAATGCTGCAGATGAAACACCTGAGCACCCTGTGCTCACTCTCAACATCCTAGCACAGCCCAGGATCTGTGCAGATGAGGGCACTGCCTGCCCTGTGTGTCAGCACCCAAACAAGCCAGACGAGGGACAGCAGAGGCTGGAATCACCTCTCTGTTTGCCAAGCAGACACATCCTCTGGCTCCCTGATGTGAAGGGTATCCAACACGGCATTCACATGGAAGGACCTGCACCCAGTCGTCCCCTTGCCTGGGACACTTGCCCTGACCCCAGCCCTTCCTTCACCTTAGGGGCACACAAACCCCAAAACCCCACTGGAGCCCCAGCGTGGGAGCCGGAGGTCGCAGGGCCTGCCTCACACCACACTGCAAAGAGTTAAGCGCTCACTCTGTTGATATTTCCAAGCAGCTCCCAAAGTCAGTTGAGACGGGGAGCGCCCTGATTGGCTGCGTACCGGCAGGGAGTAATTAGTATCAGATATCAAACTTCTGTCTTTGCTAAGACCCTTGCCGATAGTCGCTGCTCCCCGCTAGATGATGACATCAGCCAGGACACCCAGCTGCTGGTAGTAAACTCTGGGCGGGAGGAGGCTCCCGCTAGCTCCAAGTTAATTAGTTCAACACAGCACGGGGGGAGCAGTTGGTGTCTGTGGAGGGTCAGTGCTGGATGGGACCAAATCTTTCAAAGCCACTTGCTGCTTCTTGCCAGCCAGCTGTAAAAGCACCCAGAAAGCCCAGGAGAGCTGGATGAATCCTGAGTACTAGACGTGGTCTGGTCGGCTTTTTTCTGTGGAGGAAGTTAATGGTTTAAGTGAGGGGCATCTGGATCTGGTCCCCGAGTCACCATGACACTCCTGGGGTCTGAGCACTCCTTGCTGATTCGGAGCAAGTTCAGATCAGGTAGGGGAAACCTTGAGATTTCTCTTGAAACTTCTCTCTTTGGCAAGCCATAGCCACAGACTGTCTTGCATTAAATGTTTGGAAGCAGCATGCGAGCAAAGTATGCAGGGGGTCGTAGAGCTGTCACGGCTTTGCTCTTACAGAGGCTATTCTGCAACTGGAGAAATGCATCTTCCTTCCTCTCTGTTGCTTTTTTTTTCTTGGTTTCTCATTGTCTTCAATTTATGTCTGTGGTTTATTTTGGTAAAACTGCAGTTCCTAGGTCTCCTGTCATGGCCCTGCTGCAAAGGATTTGGGCAGGAAGCCAAAAGGGCATCTAGGATAAACAAGGCACCTAGTGCCGTCCGTATATTCCAGGTGCTCTTGTGGGTCCGTCTGTAATAATTGCAGTGAGGATGGGCCTGACACTCTCTCTGACATGCAGGCAGCTGACTTTGTTCCATTAAGTTGTGACTAATTGGAGAAAAATGAATTTGAAGAAATGCGTCATTTTTAGAAGTAAAAATAACAAATGGAATATGAAAAGTATTTAAAGTGACATCATCAGAGAAATAAAACCAGAGCCACACAATTGATTGCCACTCTCGGAGGGTTTGCAAGTAAAACATGCCTCCGTCTCGTAAGTTAGGGGAAGCACCAGTAAGGGGCTTCTCAGAGGACATTCAGCGTGAGTGAAGGTGAGTGAAGATGAACTATGGGACAGTCACTTCTAAAACAGACCCTCTGCTGGATATTCATGCCTTTATTCACTGGCTGTATTTATAGTAAGTATGCTGTGTTTGTGAGTGCGTATCTTTACTTGTAGTTTTTGTTAATGAACATAACATACTGTGATATTAATGATAATGTCTAAAAAGCTTTCTCTGACCTTCTGAGAGCAGAAGTTCTCCCTGGGAATATTATCTGTGAGGATGTTCAGACAAACCAGCTGCATGTGCTGTGTGGGACGCTGTAAAACTGGACAGGGTAGTTACGTTGGAATATGCACCCAGTCTGCCATGTCACCCACACCGTGTGTGTTTTTGCCTCCTCATGGATTGTAGACAATGAAATTAGAGATTTATGATACTGACGTTAGACATGAGTGGTGTTATCAAGATCTTTTAGATAGCTGGGTGGTCAACTTAAACTTTGTTTTCTCAGCAAATACAAAGTTGGCTGTTGGTTGAAAACCTAAGAGCGTGTGTGCAAACACAAGTGTCCTAGTCTGGCTGAATTATACAAAACTTGGGTCCAGGGCTTTGGTGCGGTTTCCATATCGCTCTGATCTTACGTTTCATTAGATTAAGTCATTCCTTAGATTTTGTTGGTATATTATGGTACATTGCTGTTCTGAGTCTGCAACAGTTCCTCCAGCAACTACAAAGCAACACTGCCACCTTTCTGACAAAGGAGGATGGGCTGTGTTACATGTCCCTGCATTCTTTTCAAATGAACCACTATTGTTTTTAAGGCTCACTTCTGGTTTATTTGTAAGCTGACTTTATTATGGAACCAACAGTGGGATCTCTAAACATATTTTTCAAATGATTCTCCAGTAAAAGTAAACTTTGTGGGTCTTTGTGTCCATAAATTCTCATCCCTTTCAGCATTTCTAGGGCAGTCAATTTGTAGGGTATTCTTTGGTTCATGACTTATTCCCTCAAGTGCCATCCCTCAATATTGCCTGGTGAAAGATAGGGTTCACATTTAACAGTATTTTTCAGCCTATTTATTATGTTTGAGCTGGGCTTGCGAAAATCCCAAATACATATCTGTGTCTTGCTCTCCCCACTGCTGGGACTGATGCAGGTAACACGGGTCATGTCTGCAGCATAACCTGGTCATTGCAGTCTATGAGACAGGGGAGGAAAGAGGGATGCTGAGGAATAGAAATAATCAATAATGCAGCTTTCAGTTTGTGCTAGACTTTTAGTAACATGAGGAGTAGAGAAGAAAAGCTAACATTTAATGGCTGAATTGGTTGAATCTCTTTTGTGTGCAAAGTCTCTATGGGACAGAGTTTCCTCTGGTGTCCCTGCTCCATGTGCCAACTTCGGTAGCTGTAAAGCTCCATAAGGATGGCAGGAGGTGCCATGCTCTGATTTACTGTCCTCCATGCACCTGACAGAGGGATGAACTTCTCAAACAGCCCATTGCCCTGCACCACACCCTTCTGCATGGTTTGGGACCTGTAACACGCTGACAGCAGCCATTAACAGAGAGAGTTGTGTAGTTTGCACAGAGCAAGTGAAAGATGTGCTAGGAGGAATCAGGCCATGAAATGCTCAGCCCTGAGGAGCCGTGCTTCACCATGTGCCATTGCTTTGGAAATGGTCTTGTGCAGGCAGGTGTGAGGCTTTGCTTGCTCCCCAGGTTTGGGAAGGATTAGCTGTGCTCCATGACTCATGACGCGTCTGAATCCCTTTTGAAGAATTCCAGGCCAATGTTGATGAGGGCTGAGGTAAATCTTAACTAAAATTTTGCTGTCTCTCCATAGCCTGCACACACTGAGCAGCTGAAAGAGCTATCTGTGTGTTAAAGTGTGCCAGAGATATATTATTTTCTTGTTGTTTCCTCATCCCAGAATCCCTTTAATCTCTGTGGCACAAAGCAGGTAGAAAGTGAGACAAAGACATGGCAACTAGAAGATGGTGACACATTGATGTTCCTCCTAGAGTGGCTCGAGGATCAGCTTTCCAGTCTCTTGCTTCCATCTGACAGCATCAGTAGCAAGAAAAAGAAAGCATTTGTCCAGGAAAGGCTGATCTGGGAGAGGCAGCGGCTTTTCCACACAGTGCTCAGCAATCCTCCCTTGAGCCCCATAGTGTTTTCTCCTGCTCTCCATCTCTCCCATGGTCCACAGTGAAGGACCAGCATAGCTGTGCAGTGTGGAGAGACAGTAGCTACCCCAGTGTATGACACAAGGAACCACCCCAAAGGAGACAGACCAAATCACCAGCATGCTGCAGGCCTTCAGGTTCCGCCTCCCCTTTCTTGAGGATTTGTGTGCTTTTTTATTTTGTCTGTTTTGCCAAAGATAAATATACTGATCTGAGGTCATCCTGACAAATTTTACAAGAACGATGATTCTTCAAGCCTGCCATGCTATCCCATGTGCTCCAATTATCAATGGGATTGCACTAAATCAACTAGGACATCTAAGGGCTGTTCCAGAAACATATTTAACTCTTCCCAGAGACAATAATTTATGTGAAGTGATCTCTTGCTTTGAATACAAACCAATTGTACTCAGGCAGCAGAGATGCATTTTCATCAGACAGAACAAACAAAGCTGGCAAATGCAGACTTAACCTTAACTCTGACCTTTTCTGTCCAGCAATATGGAAAGAGAGTTTACAAGGCCAACATCTGCATAAAATCAGTTGTAGTTCAGATAATTGGTGAGAAGTGAAAGTCTAGCACTCTAAATAAGGCTCTGCGTGGCTTGGCATAAGGTAATATCCAGGCCTAATTGTGGTCACATGGGTGTGAATTTGCAGAGAAGACTTGCCTGGCTCTATGGAGAAAAGGATTCATGCTTATACATAAGGGTCGAAGGGAGCTGGTTGAGATGGGAGAGGAATTTATTCTGTCTGCCTGTGGTGGAGAGAGTGATTTGGACCAAAATCAGCAGGTTAATGAAGGCAGAAGAGAGTAGGTCTTGGTAGGGTTTTAAACCAGGCATTTTGGCAGAACCTTTATTTTCATTTTCCCAGTGTCCAAAGATAAAGCATGTGCATGTGTTTCCTCTCAGATCATAAACTTGGACAGTTCACAATCACTGTGTGCGTTCAAACCATGGCCTCTCTGTAACTGATGACACTCTTGTGATTTTGTGAAGTTTTTGTAAAACGCTGACTTGATGTAGATCTGTTTGTGCTTGGTTTTGTTTTTCCAGCACCTTATACCTTGGTGTTTCAGCTGACAGACATTTCTCTGTTAGTCAGGCATGTGCTATAGCACAGACTAAGACATACCTCACTGTGCTTGAGAGAAGGATGCATGGGCTGCTCACAAGGGTGATGAAGGTATGACTCCAGGGGGAAATGGTGACAGCCTGTTCTCAGGATCATGGTGATGCTGAGCTTGTACATTAAGATGGACAGAGCCCTCAGAGATTTCACAGTTGGTTGTTCTTTAGTGGTGACCTGTGCCCATTCAATTGTATGGGCTCCTTGCTAGCCAGGTGTGGTCCTACATCTCTTCTAAGGCACCTGTAGGCCTAGATGTGGGTTTAGAGATGTAGTTCTCATCAATGTAGATGAGATTTTTGGTGCAGTGCAGGCTCCCAGGTAACACACAAATTCGTAGCACGACTGCCTGAGAGAAGGTAAAACACTCACACCTCTGAAGTGGTGAACATTGCAGACAGACCTAAAGCTGGTGTGGCTGGGCCCTTCTGCAAGGCAGTGCCCAGTCACAAGAGGACTAAGGAGGGCTTTCCCTGAGCAGTCCTGTTTGCAGCTGGACTGTGGCTTGCTGAGCTTCATCTCTTCTCACACGAGTCCCACACAGGCCATGTTGTCAGAGGATAACATGGGCCTGGAGATGTGATGATACAGATAAATTATTTCATGGCATCTGGCTATTGGCAGAGCAGATGGGCCAAGACTCATGGAGGGGCTCAGGACAGAGCCTGACCAAGGTGTTTTTGGAAGACGGCAGCTCCAGAAAAGCAGGCCCTATGATGCTCTGCTGGACCAGTGCTTTAACTTGGTGGTGGTAGCAACCAGGAGATTAGCTGCCTTGTCATCCAGCTCAAGGTGACTCCACAAGCACAGCCCCAGATCAGGAGCTTAATGTCAGCTTCTTGCTCAGCTGGGACGAAGCACCCCTGCTTCCAGCTACCCTATCCATTTGGACATTCTACTTTGAATACAAGTTCCTGCTCCTGATGCAGCTGCAAGAAACAGCTGCAGTCTCAAGAAAGCCACAAGCAGCAAAAACGCATGCTGCCACCAAGCCTACCCTACTCCTACCCTGCTGGGACCATGGGACAGTCAAAGGATCCCATGTGC